TCCATAAAAATACTGCATGTGAATGAACATGGGTACAAGAGGGAGAAGTTTCAGCTTACAACATAAACACACAGGGATAACAGCATTGTTGAAGGTTTATGGTTACTAACCAGATCACTGCAAGTTTAAACCACTGAACAGGCAGGAAATGTGGGCCTTGATAAATGCACCACTGGAAACTTTGGACTATGCTCAGAATTACCTTAACTTGGCCCTTGACCAAGGTACTAAACATGTTCTTAAGTAAATGCTGCCTTTGCTTGTGTGTCTGCTTCGTTATCACCCATTTACAAATAGCTGGAAAACAACCTGTAGTCACTCAGTACAAATAAAAACATGCTTTTGGGAATATGTGTCAGATGGTACAACTGCCCTTTCCTAGGCTTTCCCTTCCTATTAAGACAAGACTTTTGGGGGATACTTATAAACACACACTCATGCATTCCTGCTTGGCTTTCAGATCAACTCCAACTCCTGCAGTAAAAGGGTAGAGGAGGGATGGTTGTGTTTTATCCATTATCTATCCCTTTGATGCCCCCTAGTGCATTTGATGAGAAATGTAGAAATGCAATTGTGAATTGGGAGACATCAGTCATAATCAGTGTTTATGTTGCCAAGCAGTCAGATATAGACAGAGATGAAAGGCAAAAGAGAAACACCAGCTGCTGACTTGTATAGAGACAAGTGACAGGGAAAAAATAGAAAAAACTATAACAGAATCAAAGAGAATACAATACTAAAGGACCCCTCAATGCACCGAAAAATATAGTTTTAGACACACACACACACACACGCACGCACGCACACACATACACACACACACGCACACGCACGCACGCACGCACGCACAACGGTGTAAAAAACAATATAAAACACAAACACAAAACACATTCCATAACCTACCCATTGGCAATTAAATGAACCCAGCTGATGTAAGTTTGCATTTAATCATTATTTAAATCAAACAAAAGCTACAGGCTTAATTGTACATATGTATGTTTCCCCTGGCGTTATAATAACACGTCTGAATAAAAATATTACTGAAAATTCATGCATATGCATGCAGGACTTCATCGATTTTCAAGTCGATTAATAAGACTGAAATCTTCAAACTTCATGTGCAACTACTCATGTCTGGTTGTTTACAATCTCGCTGGCTAAACATGGCCGTTAACAAACTCAGTCATGGCAGTTAGAGGTCGATAACTCTTGAATTCTTTTTAATTTACAAGTCTTAAATAGCAAAACAGGGTACTGTTTAGTCGCCGATTTAATTGTCCTTTTCCCTTGTCGCTGGTTTGGTTTTATCTCATCTCCCTGTGACTCGTTAGCCGTTGAAGCTAGGTTGCGAGCTAACTACTCCATAGGGAACAATGACAGCGACTTCAGCAGGTAGCAGTAGCTGCCTTGCCGCTAAAGGATTGGATATAAGTCTGGCTGCTCTGCAGCGACAAGATCCATACATCAACAACATCGTGGACGTGGCCAGCCAGGTCGCTCTGTATACTTACAACAACAGGGCAAATGAGTGGGTAAGCCTGAACTGTGGTTAATGATATAATGCTAACTTAGCTTAGCTCATCATCATCCGTGGTCGGCGCGCTTTGTCACTGACACAGATTTACTTCATTTGAAGTTACAGCAGTTAAGTAAACTCGGACAGCTGCGGTTGTTCAGGGTGTAACGAGCTATTTTTTAGAAAGTGGAAATGTTTAATTTCGGTTTCATTTATATCGTGTAGTCAAATACCCCTTGTGTGGCCAGTCTGACATCCGGCCAGTATGACATCTTACCTTACAGTGCGTTGACACACGTGAATACCAGCATTACTGTGGTTGGCTTTCTCTGTGTTTTCCAGGAGAAGACCGAGGTGGAAGGAACTCTTTTTATCTACACGAGGTAAGAAATTTTGTTGCAAAAGTTTGATATCTCGCAATCTAAAGCTTCTCTGTGCAAAGCTGTACTTAGAATGGTAGTCCAGTAAAGCTCTTTCACATGCTGAATTCTCCCATGACATTTTTGAGCGACAACTTCAGTACTTAGTTTTCCACCATGCTGACTATTATCATTAGGCTATTTCTGTTGTCAAAATAATTTCACCCTTTCCTCAGTTAGTCAGTGATATAATTTGTGTGTAATTAAGTTTTTAGAGTTTGAGTATGATAATTTTGACATCCTTTCAAAATGAATTCTATTTCAGAAAATATGACATATATAAGTTATATATATATATATATATATATATATATATATATAAGTAAGACACGACTTCAAACTCAGAATGGATAATTGCATTCTTTAGCATAGTCAAGATCCTGAATTTAGCTTAACTGTGTAATGGCCATTATGGTAGCTGTAGTCATTTTTGTTTCCAAATAGTCAGTAACAATTTTTTACATTAATTTTTCACAACCATTGTGTATGTTGTGTCCTCTATGTATTCAGGCTGGCATCTCCCAGGCATGGGTTCACCATAATGAACAGACTCAGCATGGAGAATTTGACAGAGCCGATCACCAAAGACCTGGATTTCCAACTCCAGGACCCCTTCTTGCTGTACCGCAATGCACGATGTAAGGAGAAAGACACAGACATGCTTCTTATGTCTGCCTGTTAATTAATAATGCCTTTAGATTTTTGTGTGACAGAATTTGTTCTCAACACCTGTTGAGTACAGTACATGCACTGACACCTTTTATTGTAGTTTTATGCCAACTGCTTTATTACCCAGCCACTTCCAGTGTCACTTACTATATGCCGACTCAACCAAAATCTTTAAACTGTAAAGGATAAGTACATTTGATGTAATGCAATATGATCACACCACACATAAAATTACAGGTGTTTCTATAGTCACAGAGATGATAAAAAGATGAACAAAAGTCTTCAGCATGCATTTAATTTGAGTGAGACTCAGTAGTTCCATATAAGGAGCAGAGGTATCCGGGTGAATTCTATCAGCCTGGCTCCCTCTCAGACTTACATACACACACACTCACAGACACACACACACACACACACACACACACAAACACATTGCAGACTGTGCCTGTGGGAGCCTGACAGCACTACAAAACCAGCCAGCGGAGATTAGATACACCACAACAGTCACTGATAATCTAAACACACATACACACACACTCACTCAGAAATCGCTGACACACACAGACCTGCCTCCCTCTCTGGTCTCACACTCTCCATCAGGCTCAGTAAGAGGCAGGTGGAATGCAGTGTTTAGATACCACTGGATTCCTTTCGCCTTCTTTGATCCATTTACCGTGGTACTTCATCAGTCTTACTGACACTTATACAACAAAGCCATGATTAAACATCCCGAAGGCACACTGAAATAATGTGTATGACATAAACTTTCCTCACTGACCTCTCAACACCTTTATGCCTTGTTTAAATGCATTCAGGACACATTACAGAAGATCTGTGATAGTACTGGCCTCTATATGTGATTAGAACATCGGTAATGGGAATACATTGCAAATGAACAGCTAATTCATTTGTCCCGAGGAAGGAAAGAAATGCAAAAATGTTTAAAGCCAGTAATCACAGCTCAGTTGATGACTATTTCCTCTGATAAGAGGGAAATATGGGTTGGGGTGATATAAGTTAAAGAGTGGGCGGGTACATTGCAAACCTAATGGTAGGTGACTCCAACTGATTACTCTGATTTAAGGTGGATAATACAACACCCAAAAAGGAGAGATGCAGTATGGCTGAAATCAAACTATTATTTTAATCTACATAGCTGCTCTGATTTAATCAGATGATTGGACCCTAAATACATTATTTTAGCATGCAGCTATGTGACAAGGTTGTGAAGCCTCCCAAGTACAGCAGGAGTAAGCTAACATTCACTGAATGTTGACTGACTAGATGATGGTATGTGTGTGGTGCTGGGACATTTTGCAGACAACTGTATGCACAGGAATGCATCTCAGCATGAAAAAAGATGTTTTTTTCGCTGGCCAATGCCTGATTAGTAATACTATTTAGGCCCCAGGCTGTTGGTAATGCTGCCAGTCCCACTGTGTCATGACCTCTGTGTGGAGGGGTCGTGGAATCTTATCATTAAACAAACAAGTAGCTCTCAGTGCTGCTGTAACTTCCTGGAATGGCAGTTGGCACAAAGTGGCACCCCAGGCTAAAAATAAACTGTGGAGATATACCACAGAACAGGGCAAAATTCAAAGGCGGGAAATTTAGCCTGAGCAAGTCATTATACCTCTGGCAAATATCCCAGTGCACAGGAACCGATAGGAGGCTTTTTACATTCCTTCCTATAAGCACCTACAATCCTTAGCAGTGTTTTGGTTGCCCCATTAAAAAAAATCCTTTGAACTACTTTTTTGTTTTCAAAGACTACAGAATTCTCAATTTAATATATAGTTTACGTGCAGTACTGTATATTATATAAAATGTATTAAATTGGCATTTTTATCTGTTCTCCCATGCACAGCAGTTGGCTGCTAAAGTTAACGCCAGATGTGACTTAATTTATCTATACTCTGGTAAGTACTGATGAAGTGGAGCCCAATGGTTCAGAATTGAGTTGATTTATCATAGAGCTGAAACAACTAGTCAGGTAATTGATTAATGGATCCACAGGGAAGTAATCAGCAACTATTTTTGATAATCGATAAATCAGGAAATGCCAAACATGACTGCCGTTCAGCTTCTTGATTGAATATCTCTCTGTTTTAAGAAAGACATTAAAAAAATCAATGAACCTTGGGCTTTAGAAAACTGTAATGGACATTTTCCCACAATTTCCTTACATTTTGGAGACAGATATAGGCTAATAGGCTAATCATCATCAGATGCAGCCCTTATTTATTGTATTATCAGCCCTTACATTTAACACTGATGTGGATCTGACCTTAACTGTTGTATGTACTGCAGCCCACACATATTGGATGTGGCTAACACTAGCACTCCAATTAACATGGCAGTGGTGTTCTGTATTATGTGTGCATGGACAGTCTTACCTCCAGGCCGGACGTATGTGTATCCCAGGTCTGTCTCTGACACCAGCGAGCCTTTAAATCTGACCTCAGGTTCCTCCTCCAGTCTCTCATGTTTAGGTTTCCTCTGAAACAGGCCTCTCAGCATGGCTACACTTGTCTCAGCAGTCGCTCAGTCCAGTAGTAATTGTCTTGTTGATCCTCTCCAGAACTTAAAGGTGTTTAGGTTATGCCTTTAATTGTAGCTCCAGTAATCACCTTTCTGGCTGAAGGTTCAATAAAGGTGTTGTGATACCACCTCTGATTAGATTTTCCTTCTTCAGTGGAAAAGGATGTACTGATGGTGCACTGCTGTTCCAGGTAACACTGTGTATAAGGCCCTTTAGTCTGGTCAAGTAGTGCACGCACAGCTGTCCCCAATGTCTCCTTATAACTGGGCTTCAGTAGCAAGAGATCTTACTCAAATTCAAATGTAGTTAAGTGTCTGGGGCAAGGGACAAGGTGTAATACTAATAACATCGGTAGCTGTAAATCTCAATATTTACTCCTCCTACAATGTCACGAATTCCATTACTACAAACAAAGGAAGTGATGTTTCTTCACAGTCAACAATTATTCCAAGCATGGATGTGAGTAACTGTAAAAGCACCTACAGCTGACAAACTTCCAGCAAACTAAATACAGACTAAAAGAATACCAGCACTGTTCTGTGAGCTCTCTCCACAAAAATGATCACAGACTGCAATAGCACACTTAATCAATCTTGGACAACAGTGTTGCTTACAAATGGCTGGACTGCTAACTATACTGAAGCTAAGAAAAAACATAAAATAGTATTCTTTGAGTAGTCCCAGTAGTGCAGTTTGGGTTACTGTGTTGTCAAAGCACATTTAAACCTTCAGGAAACTCTGATGTTTTTGTGCAAGTCAAACAAAAACATATAGATTGGAGATAATTAAAAATGTCTTCTTTCAAAATCAAAGTCCCATCAGAAGAGTGACCGGTTGACGTGCTGCTTCACAGAAAAATCTCAAATGAAGTCCCACTGAAATTAAAAATGCCTTCTTATGCATCCAAGCCCCGCCGGCGTGTTGTCACTATAGGTTTGCAGCAGACAACACACGTGCACAAGTGCTCACTGTTTGCCTGGTTTGTCGTACTTTATCAAGGGTTAAAAAGGACCACACAGCTTAAGTCCTGGATCACACATAGTCTCCAGTGGAGTGATCATTGCCAAAGTTTCCAATACTCCTTTTTCAATCTGTGCCGTCATATTCAGAATTGACATTTCTCAGTAAGTGACCACTCCGGTGGTCTCAGACTTTGGTGTCCTCTTGCTGAAGTTATTTACCTGTGTGATGTTGCAGTGTAGTTCCCAGTCCAGTTCACTTGGTTAGGGTCTCTCCTTCACCCATACAATGCAGATGTCCCTCTGCCTTTCTTCCTCTCACTCCCCGTCCCCAGTGTTGTTGACTGGAGCCCCCTTCTCACTTTTTGTCTCTCTCTCTCTCTGACATCTACTCTGAGAGCCTAACCTTGTGGTCACGGCCACTTCTCTGTTGGTGCTACTGGTTTTAGTCCTCCTCCCACTCTCTGTTTCTTACTCTCTCTCTTTCTGAAGGTTTTCTGTCTTGTTAAGGATGAGACTTTTGGTATATCAGGACAGGCTGAAAGTGTGTCTGATAATCTCTTCTATTAAACACACCTTCCAAGCTCTTTTTACACAATCCTCTTCATTTTTGTCTTCATTCTTTCTTTCATTCTTTGTGTGGATGATGCATGGTAGCACAATCAAAGAGACATTCTGGTATCTAAAACTTCTAAAACTTGTCCAACCGTATGTCTTCTCATTAATTCACTAAAGTTCAACATTTTTCATTCATTGACAAAGTTCAGTTCTATGTTTCCTGACAGCTAAAGAGCTCTGAGAACTATCTGTTATTCTTTTGATGGAACACTTAATAATCTCCTCTCTAACACACCTCACATCTTTCTATTTCATATCCGGCTCGTTCATTTTTTCTCAATTTTCCAGCTCTCTGACTTTGATTGTGTGTGTCTCTCTGTCTCTGTCAAACAGTCTCATCCCCAGTGAGCACTAAGTGGCTCTGGCTCCACGAGACAGTCTCCCACTGCAGTTACTTATTTGGTACTGGACTGATTTTCCCAGGCTCAACTGAACCCGTGTATGTGTGTGTGCGCGTGCGTGCGTGCGTCTGCCTTTCCCTCCTTGTGTGTTCCTCTCATCCGTACTGACCTCAGTGGCTTGTCCAACCTTACTGGTAGCCAAGTGCGTGTGTTCTTTTTTGTGTATGTCTGTCTTTGTGGGAATATGTGTGTGTGTGTCTTTGATAGGACTATGTTTGTAACGCTGTCCGCCACATAGCGTAGACGTCACTTGTTGCTTTTTGTTTACTCTCTTCTCTCTTCTCTTTTCTCTCTTTATCTCTTTTGTGTCTGATTTGAAATCCTCTCTAGCTCATTTATAGGTGTTTCTATTTCCTTTTACTCGCATGTCTTTAACACTTTGCCTCTTTCCCTTTTTGCAGCAGTCCTTATCTTTTCTTGAGTCCATTTTAGGAAGTAAGTGTGTGTTGAGGTGTCACATGATGTCCTGCTGTCTTGTTTAAGGCTGTCTGAAATGTGTCCACAGCACCAAGTGTCAATCTTTTAAGTGCCGGAATTTGGCCTCAAATACTTGCTCAGGTTTATACTTCTTTTTTCATCACAGTTTGTTTTTCATATAAATCATTTCTGCCTGTTTATATTGTATTTTCTGTAGGCAAACTTCCTGTGTGGCTGCTCGTGTTAAGACGTGTACAATGTTTATATCTAGGGCATAATGGGGTAGAAAGGTATCCAGAAGAACTATTTTAGTTTTATTGTTTCAGGCACTTGTATTTAAAATTTTAATACCTACGGTTTTGTCGAAGTAGATAAAATAAAGAAGTTCAAGGATTGGAGGATCTGGATATCTTTTAGGCCTCCATTGTTTTTATTTCCTGACACCTAACATTGTTGCTAAGCAAAATGGTGCAAGTCTCTCCTCATGGACTGGAATTGGATAATTATGCAACACCACTGGCTGCTTCAATATGCTTTTAGGAGCAAGTGCAAATGAAAATAGAAAAATGAGTCACAGTGTAATGTAATGCAGCCTACTTACTTACTGCTGTGTAATCCCATGACAAATGTGTGTTAGTGTTGCCTTTTGTCTCCCTTGTTGACCATGTTTATGTAGTTCAAGAGACTCCTGGGGCCCATGTTTCACTGTGTAATGGCGGTGCTGACTTCTGTTCCCATTGGCGTGGCTGGGAAATGACTAATTTAAAACTCTGGGTTTAGACCCAACAGGGCTAATAATAGACAGTTAACATGTCTGTCCATCCTGTACTGATGTCATAACAGCAGGATTGTGCTACAGCACGTCTGTGCATTCATTTGATTTTAAGGGTATGGCAGGTCAGTGGGCTCATTTTGTTGTCTGCTGACCTTAGAAGCTCAGAACTGAACAGACAGTTACATTATTTTGCCGGCTAACTGGGTTTTTGACTGGGTCATGGCTGCAAACCCTGACATTTTGTTTCATCTCTGTTTATGTAAAGATGTTCGGAAATTGAATTCTCTCTCTCTTTCTCTCTGCCTACCAACCCTACTCTGCCCCTCCCTTTCTTCCTCACCAGTGGTTATCCATGGGATTTGGTTCTATGATAAGGAGGATTGTCAACGCATTGCCCAGAGGATGAAGATGTAAGTATAGTTAATAAGTTAATATGAGAACAAATAATGAGTAATAAGTTATTTTTCAACAGCCAAAGTTTGTTTCATATCTTAGTCTGCACATGATGGACTACTTGCGTATATTAATGGCTCTGCGTCTGGGATTTAGAGCCAACATCTTAAGTTTTCAGCTAACAAATGATAGTAATATGTTTGAATGAACTTGGCTCCAACGGTGACAGTTAATTTATCTTACATTGGCTAAAACACACTGTAGGTATAAAGATAAAGTGGTAGTCTGAAATGGCTTCAGTTTACTGCGTGTCACTAAAGTTATCACAAGCTTTTGAAGAACCTTGGACATGTATGTTTATGGACTACTTTGTGCAGTCTGACCCAGCAGGAGCAGGTCCTCGCTCAGTCTCAGGGTGGTTGGCTGTCCCCAGCAGGAGGAGGAGTCAGTGGAGGAGGAGGTGGTGGTGGTGGTGGTGGTGGTGGAGGAGGAGGAGGAGGAGGACGAGGACGAGGACGAGGACGAGGCGGAGGTGGAGGCGAAGGCGGGGGCGGAGGCGGAGGCAGGGGCGGAGGCGGAGGCGGGGGCAGCATTGGTGTCAGAGGAGGTGCAAGTGAAGGGAAGGGAGTAGACATCATCCAGATGTTGACCAAAGCACGCACAGAGTATGACAAGGTAGGTAGGCGAGGCAAGTTTATTTGTATAGCAACTTTCAACAACAAGGTTGATTGCGGCGCTACAATGCAGTGCAAAATTTGGAGAAATAGTCCCAAATTTATTTTGATAAAAGAAAAGTCTTAAAACTTGACTTGTTTGTACCAGATAATGTGGCACATAAAAACTGACCTGTTCCAGATGATCTGAGAGGTCTGGAGGGTTCATAATGGGTCATATCAGCAGATCAAAAATATATTTTGTTGGGACACTGCAAGACTACAGGGTTTTGGTGGGAAATATAACAAATAGACTATTACAGATTCAAAATTTGCCCCTTTTCACCCTGGATCTCCATTTCTGTTTCCATTCCTTATGTGTTTCAGGAGAAGTCGACTTCAGAGCCAAAGGAGATTGGCGGCAGCAGTGTTCTATATGGAAACCCCAACCTAATTAAACCAATACCTGTTAAACCAACAAACACACAGGTGAAACACTCAGTTTCACATTCAGTCTCACATTAGTACATTGTCTCTGGATATCTTCTTTTTATTGAGATCATTAAAGAAGAGCCCTTCTCTTAATCATTTCCTGTTAGACCATATTCTTAAATATGCTTTAGAAACAACTGAAGCTCACACAGTTGCTGTACTTCTCTTCTTCTTCTCATGCCTTCTGCTAGTTTTCTCTCTTATCCTCTTCTGTGTTTGTCTCCTTCAGGACAGTGAAGGTGCAGAACCCAAGTCTCTCTCTCTGGCCACTCTCTTTGGTTCTCAACATCAGCATCACCACTCATCCAAACCTGACGCCGTCTCTCCTGTGGCTGTAGCTGTGCCTGTGCCAGGGTCAGCATCAGCTCGCCCACCTGTAGCCCGCACACTGACCTACGATGATACATTGAACTCTGGCAGAAGTCAGACCTCCAAGGGAGGTAATGCCGCCATGGCTGTGTGTTCAGATGGCGGGATCAGGGCAGTAGTTGGGGAAGACGGTGGAAATGTTGTTACGGGCTTGCTGCCGATTCCTATGACCGCTCATCAGCAGCAGCAGCAGCAGCAGCAGCAGCAGCAGCACTGCCCAGCCATCCAGAAGCTCATGCAGGGACAGAGAGGGGTTGGAGGGGTGCTTCAGACTGTGTCTGAGTCCCCTGAGAACAGGTTGTGCGACAACGGGGTGCCACTGGAGCATCACCACCACCATCACCATCTTTACCATCATCATCATCAGCAGCACCACCATCATCACCATCAACAGCAGCAGCTTCAATCCGACCCCATCAAGAGACTTTTCCAAATCCAGCCACCTCCCTCTCCCTCCACCTCGTTCTCCTCTGCTGCTCCCCCTCATTGCCCCAACCCCCCTCCTCTGCAGCAGAATCCCCACCTCCCTCCCCAGCCCATAATGTTGGATTCTGTGTCATGTTCCCACCTTCAAGCGCAACAAAGCCAGCAGCTGTTCTTCAGCCTTTCTCAGCCTCAACAAGAAGCCCAGCACAACAGCCAGTCAGCCTCAACTCTACAGGGAGCAGGTGGGACATCTTTTCTTCTATCACTATGCTACAAATAAGCAGTGTAACCATGTGCTGAATAAGTTTATCACACACACTTTTCCACCATTTTTTCTTTTTTTTAGAAAAATAAGTAAATACGAATAATAAATTATATAATGTATGGAATAATAAATAATGGCTAGTAAAAAAGGTAATGAGTAAACAAAACTCCTGTATCATTTTTAACAATATCTTTCCTACTTTGTCAGGTTTGTTACCATCTCAGGTGAAGAATGACCAAGTCATTCAACCTGCACAAGGTATTATATCAGTTTTCTTAAAATACATAACAATCACTTTATAGTGTCTGTTTTGTGTCAGACAAGCTTCAGTGAAGTTGTGCACAGATTCCAGTCTACTTTAGCAAAAGTTACAGAGTGCACAGTCAATGAATCTATTCAGTGTCTGTAAAATCTGATTTCTTCATATTCTGTATTTCTCTAAGTAAGCTGTAAACGCCTGCAGGATGCCTGTTCTATCTGTGTAAGCTGTTAAGATAATTGCATTAATTGGGTCCCATGTTGTTTTTTGTCAGGTCTGTCTTCCCACATGCCAGGCGTGGTGTCTCCTCACGAGCTCCTCCAAAAGCTCCAGCTGGTCCAACAGGAGCAAAGCCTGGCTTCCAGTGATCCCCCCCGACTCTGTCCAGGACTGGCCCCTCGATTTCTGGGGCCCACTCAGAGTCAAAGTGCAGGCTCGGTTGTAGGCCCAGTCCCAAATCAGACTGCAGCCACTGCAGGTCAAAAGGCTGCACTGCAGTTTCAGGTAAGTACTGGGAAATGAGAACTCAGTTAGCAGTTGTTTTTGACTTAGGAGTATAGCAAATGATAAAAAAAAAAGTGGAAAAGTGAAATCAAATCACCAAAATTGTGCATGCAACTTTACAAAAATTGATTGTTGCCAACTTGCCACTAATTTCTAACCACCATGAAAAACTATAAAAGAGTACTAATAACCTCCTGTCTGTCCAGGTCATCTCCCCCCAGCGAATACCAGCCACTGTGGCCCCCACTATGCTCCTCTCTCCCAGTGTGTTCACTCAGGCAAAGCCTAGCGCTGGGTTGTCAGCAGTTTCCCAGGAGAACTGCCCTACCCCCTCAACCCTGCCCAGACCCACCCTGCAGGAGGAGGTTAGAGTTCTGTCCAGAAGCCAGCTCCAAGCCACACTGCTGCATCTGATCCAGGTAAAATGAATATTACTGCAAGTATTGTTGTATGATAATACACACAAACATACAGCAGAGCATATATTATACAGATATTGCTTGTGTGTTTCAGGCTGACAGCTCATTCCTGGACACTGTCTATGAAGCCTACATCAGCCGCTTTGCTAACGGCTCCAGCAGCAAGTACTAATGACTCTTCACACCCTCTGTCTATACATACACCCTGTCCAGAGCTGTGAGGCTCATTCTCTCACCTAATATGGATGCACTACTTCCTCCTCCAAAACCCCACTCCAATCACACACACTCGCTATATCTCCTCTGCACTGTATAGCCAGTAAACCGGACTCTTCACTTCAAACCAAGTCTCTCTAGTAGCATCAAAAAGCAGTTACTATGTGAAGTGTTTGTTTCCACATCAGAAAAATGCAACTTTTCATTATGTGACTCTTCTAAAAAAAAAAAAACAATACAAATTCTCTCAATCTGAGGACCACAGGTTTTTAGGATAAACGTGGCATAACCATACAGACTTGACCTCGCCTGGAGTTCAGGGGAAACTGTAGCCTATACTGTAGTTCACTCTCAGTGAAGACAAAACATGCTGCAACTTCACAGTTTTCCCGTAGTGTTTTCACTAAGTGTAGCAGAATTTATTTTATTTGTTTTTATTTAGTTTTGTCCTGTAATAACCTGTAGTCTCTACTCCGTCACAAGCATCTAACACCAGCCAGCCTTCAGGGCTTTAACAAACAAGTCTTCCTAGTCTGAGAACTTGTGCTGAGGAATATGCTCAAACTGACTTGAAACTGACTTCACTTACAAGATTAAATGCAAAACATGTTCAACATGTTATTTTCTGTATATTTGGAAAAGTAAGTTTAAACGCCATCAGAATTTCTTTGATTTGAATCTGCCATACTTTTAATTTAAGTTATGACTAGTTTGCTTTCTTAAGAATTTTAAGTATGTATAACTTTCCAAATGCTTTTAAAGTTATTAAAATGATACCTTGTCATTTTGACTTTTTTTCCCAGCAGGCACCAGCTATGACATCTGCATTGTTACTTTAGTTAACTGAGTGAAACCAGTGTTGTTTAGAAGCACATTAGTTAGCCCACAGAAAGCTATATCCACTTAACTGGTGGCATTTTTGAACATGTCCCGGTGTGTAGGAGAGATTCCTTTCCATTCCTTCAGTTTAACTTGCTTTGTTAGTCTTATTCCTCCTCCTCTGAACATGAATATCACGATGAAAGAGTTCAAAATGACATGGTATCCATTTAACTTGAAGAAAAAAGGAAACTACAGGAGACTGTCAACCTGCACTACCTCACAGAGAGCGAGAGAGTTACCTGTGTTTTTACTTAGTAGTAGCAGATTGTCAGTTTTAAAGGCTACATAATCGAATATCTATAATCGGGACTTTTGTTTCAGTTTATCTAAAGGGTTTTCATTGTCACAGAAATGTGAAACAGTTAACAAACTTTAACCAACTGAAATATCAATTGTTATATTTTTTCTGCCAAAATTTTTGTTGCATCTTAAAATGCAATAGTTTGCAGTCATGCCACAGTTCCTGAACACTCTTCCTGCCAAATGAAACGGCTTACAGAAATCCCCCTCAGGTATTATAAAACCACTCATTGATCAGAGGTTTGGTTATTGATGGTAAATACAGTTCAATAAATGATTGCTTGGTTACATAGAGATTTAAAGCAATAAAGAGCAACGCAGAAGATATATACATATCTTCAATAATAATGTTTTGGAGTTCACAGGCCTATTCAATGCAAGTACAGTAGAAAATTTTATACCCATTTGCTGTAAAATGTCACATCAACAAATTTCTCATTCATTGCCTCTCAGTTCCCCACTTTGTTCAACATAGAAGTGAGTCTATGGTTCCTTTCGTCAGGATCAGGGTTTGCAATGTGTGTTTAGCTCCTGTGCTAAACTCAGGCAATGGCCAATCAGAACAGTAGCATCCAGAGAGTACACAAGAAAAACAGCAGCAAAAAAAAACAAAAAACAAAAAGACAAAAAAAAAATGAATACATTACAGAAAAACTGAAAATATTTTTATTCCTATTTTTCTACTCCAGAAGCAAAATGTATTGTTCTCATAGTACAAATAACCAACATGTTTCATTACAAATACAGAGATAAAATTTAAGTCATTTTCATGCAGATACAACATATCTACAGTTATTTGTCAAATGCCATTTTGATATTTTAATTCAAAAGATATAATCCATGGTATTTTTTAAAAAAAAACATAATTTAAAAACAATATGAGACAATAGAATGTTAAAGGAAACATTTTTTATCTCTTTGTCAGGAATGTTTTGCTCTTAAAGAAACTGGAATATATTTTAATTGGATATTAAATGTTCTCAAACTGCCTCTGTTGTTTATTGTCTTTTTAATGTCTTCATATGGATCTGCATGGCTGAGTGGTACTACAAGGATGATGATGATCATTATTATTATTATTATTATTCAAGATGCCGCCCAAAGTAACACTAATCACACTGAAGGTACACCCATTATTGCTTTAATGTCACATCACTGCTTTCTTTTGCCACAATCAATAGCGTAACATAGTGTCAACAGTGATTAATCAGCCATGTTTTACACAGCCAGCAGTATTGAAAGACTTTGCCCAATTAACTCCCAATAGTCTTTATACAACATTAGTTTTTCCAATAAAAAATCACTGCCGGTGTTTGTCGTGCTTAACTGAGCACGCACTACAAGCCAATACAGCAGAGTTGCTGACACAGTGGTGTTAATTTGACTGAACAAGGGACTTCCAGTTTAGAGAGGAGGGAGGGTGCCCCAGTAGACATGACACTTCTGTCTTTGAGAAAATAATCTCACCGCAAGGTCCATTTTGTAGCTGTTGTTGAGCTTTTAATCAAATCACATCAGCAGATGAAGCAGCTACTAAGTGGTGGTGGTGTTTCCTTTAAACCTCAGCTTTCAATCTTACGTGGATGAACGGACAGAAGTGCTTGGAAAAAGAAAAAGGAAATGAACAATCGTCAGTGTCACATTGTCGAATGCATCTACATCTGCAGATGAAGGTCATATGATTTGATCAAAAGCTTGAACTTTAAACCTTAGGTTTAGTTGCTGTAACCCTGACTGTGTCCATGAGCAAGGCACTGAACCCCTTCCGGCTCGCCCACTGTGCTGGATACAAATGGATAGAATTGTGCAAAGAAAGTAAAAGGGCATAGAGGAGGACACAACAACGTTTTACATGAAATGTCTGTGACCAACATCAAAATTTAAAGACTGAATAAATCCAGACAGTTCATATAGATCCCTTCCACTGATTCAAGGAAATGTGTATCCTGTTTTTCCTCGTTTTCTACTAGCATTGTGCTAAAAACTCCCTGCAACATACAATATGTCAGGTCAAGAAAAAAAGTTTTTTATTGTTTTGACACTACAAAAGAACAAATAAAAAATGCATTCTCTCACTGATGTTCCTCTTTTTTTTCTATTTCACTCATTTTCACAGCAGCACTGATATGAAATCTTTGCTTTCCCAGTGCAACAGTGGCACCAATTGACTCTTGGGAAATGAACTGACAGCAAACCGCAACAATTAACAGCTGACTGGTTCATTGATGGACCGACTGATTCATAGAAAATGGCCCCTCGGTGGAAGTCATCACTTGGTCTCCCATGGTGACCACTTACTCTCTGGACAATGGTGATAATGACCTGTCAATCACTGTTTCCCCATGCATGCATACAGTATATTTCTTTAGATGAATAGACTGCTCGTGGTGAAAGGAAAATAGTGACCGGATTTAAATCAAAGACTCTATTAACACTTCACAAGTGCCCTGCCTTCCCTGTCTATTTATATTATATTTTCAGCATCTTTGGGCATTTATGACATTCTGTGTGAACGTGTGTGTGTGTTTTGCAGCCTTTGTGTGACTAATTATTATATCAGTCCATTAGTACCAATTTGTCTTGTCAAGGCTCTTAATGGCTCCATAACAGCTGGGAACCAAAACAGTGGTAGGAAATACAGTGTGAAGTGACCAGAGTCCAATCAGTTAGCTTTCCCCCTTTTTTGTTGGGGAATTTGGCTGCTTCTCCCTCACTCCCTTCCTTCCTGTTTCCTCTCCCCAGCAAACACTGTTTGTTATACATTGTAATTCACATCATCATTTACAGTAGTGGATGTTTTTATCCAAAGCAACTTGCATTAACTTCAATTCATATATACGGAAAGACAAACGTTTATTACAGAAAACATGTATCAATGTCAAAACACCTTTATAGTATTAGTACTGTTAGTACCTACAAAATTTATTCTTTTTACTGGAATGACACACACACACACACATTCTTTCCTCTGAGACTTGGAAGTTCCAGACCACTGGTTTAGCTGATGGAGCTAAAAGGAAGGGCTGACTATTAGCCCTGGCTTAGACTAATCAATGTGACTTCTGGTGTGTGTGTGTGTGTGTGTGTGTGTGTGTGTGTGTGTGTGTGTGTGTGTCTCAGTGTTCATGTCCAGAGAGGCGGGGTCCACTTTGTACAGGGAGTCCAAACCACTTTTTTTGCATCTGTATCGCTGTTCTCTCAGATGGAGGATGTTGTGAAGTCGTCTGAATGAACTAAGCATCAAACTGAACAAAAAGTCCAAGAGTTGATAAATCAGAAGAAACTCTTATTGAGTAATAATGTTTTTGCATTTAAAAAAAATGCTTTTAAACTTTGTTCATGCATAAGAGTGGTCCTGTGTTCAAACTGAAATTTAAGAATCATCTTTCATGTGATTTTTTTCAGTCTCTACACTCACTCAAGACAAGTTGGAACAGGTGAGTGATTTTGTTTGCTTCCAGTTTTCTTTATGCCACAGTGCTGCTCTGGGATCCTTGTAGTTTAATGTATTTTTTAAATTCATTTTTATGTAAAGTGATGAGCACATGAGTGTGAAAAGTATGTATTGCACAGTACATTCAAAAATGAGATAAAAGTGGGATAACGGCAAAAAAAAAAAAAATTAATTGAAAAGATTATGCCTTAAAATAAATGAATTCAAGAGCTTTCTGTTAAACTACAGTATTTATTCTTGCAGAGGTGGTGGACCACTGATGTACTCACATGTTTATTTACTATACTGTAAAGGCTGTTACAGTTGGTCAGTTTAAACCTGAGGATATTTATTAACTAGACTTGGCTAAAATGTTTTTTTTTTCTTTTTAACAAATAATTGCAAGTGCATAAAAAGTGTTTGTATGTTGCTGTGCGTAGACTTTGAAATTTAATCACTATCCACTTAATCCAATTCTATCATGTCTCAGACAGAAGGTAGGGAACCATGACATGTAGGTTACCTAAAGGAAACTCAGAAGAAGCAGAGAATATGTAGTAAGCATAAGTTAGTAGGAGCAGGTCTCACTGTCTTGTATCAAGTTGTTTCACTATTGCTTTAGTTATAGCCCCTGTCCTATAATTCCAGTGGCTCTCATTTGTCTGGAGGTGTAGAAATCTTTCTCTTCTAAACTCATCTGTTTGTTTTTAATCAACATCCTCTCCTTTTGTGATCGGTATAGATTTAATAAGGGGGAAATCAATAAAGGATAACAGCCTTTATTTGCTTTCATATCAACAGCATATAACAAACTGGAGATTTTTAGGGTAATGGCAAAACTTTTTCATCAAAGGTGTGGTGCAATCAGAGAAAATATGTTGTGAAAAATCAAGTGTTCATCCATGTTGGGGGGGGGGGGGGCTAAGATTTCCATCATCAGTGATCTGGGTCAGTGGGGGAGGAGGAGTCCCACAGCTGTTACAGACTGCTGGTGTGTGCGTGGATATACATATGTAGTGTGTGCAGGGATGTCTGTTTGCTTGTGTTTATGTCACAGTCAGTCTCTCAGCTGTTTGTTATTAATCTGAAGCCTTTCTGCAGCATTATGGCTTTGTGTGCGTGTGCCAGGTTGTTTTACTACGTTTTCATTTCCATAACAGCATGAGCAGATGTTTTACTCTCTCTCTCTCTCTCTCCCTCTCTGTGTGTGCATACTTATAATATATCAAGGCATGTTAGCTTGTTTTAGCTGTGCACATTAGTTGTATTTGCCTCACACGCTATGGTCAGTGTGTTCACTGTCTGTATGTGTTTGTGTGCAAGTCTCACTCTGCGTCCCTGATATCTAGTTAAATGTAGTTTAATGGCCCGTGTGAGCTCTAGACATCACTTCAGCATCACGTCTCTGCTGTAGCTCTCGTGCAGATTAAAATACCATTTGTAAACAAAGCAAAACACAAAATCACTTATCTAAACAATTTATACAAAGCTGAGCAAAATTGTTTGTAGTATATAGCTATGAGGTTGTGAGAATGCAGATGTTTTGAAGTGGCAACAGAAATCGCTGACATATTTTTTCCTAAATAAATTGGAAAAATAACAAAAAGCACTTCTTGACCCTACAGTCACTTATAGACTGTTGGATTTGAAATATGCGACACATTTGCAATGTTTCATTACTCTGTCTGCGTGTGTGTGTGTGTGTGTGTGTGTGTGTGAGGCAGTGAGTGACCACTAGATGTCTCAGTGTGTTTATATTATAAGATGGTGTCAGTAAAGTGTGTCCTCCTCATATCACGACTCCCATCCCATCTTTTGCTCCTCATCCTCTCTTCTTCCTCTCATCCTCCTGTTCCCCTTCATTTTCACCTTTTCCCTCTTTTTGCTCTTTTCCTCTCCTCTCCTCCCATCTCTTCTTTCCTTCCCTCTCCCCCACAGCCGATCACTTCAGATAATTCTTACTGGTGACACCTTTTCCTCCATCCATTTCTCAGAAACAACAGACACACGGAGAAAGATTAAGCAGGAAAGTGAGGGAGGATTGGAGAAGTAGCAGGTGAGAGAAATCCTGATGAGAAAGATTAAGGGAAAAAAGAGGGAGAGAGACACACAACAAGAAAGAAAAGCAGGACTGGAAAGACAGTAGGTCAAAGAGTGTTAGAGAAAGATAAGGGCAAGAGAGAGAGAGAGAGAGATTGTGTTTGTATTAATGTGTGTGAGAGAGGGAGAGGGAGAGTGAAAAAGGATGGGGAGAGAAAAGGAGAGATGGAGGGAGGAGGGGTTTAATCCTGCCTGGATTATGGTATAAACTGGTACTGGAGAGCAGGAAGAGATATGCTGGAGAGAGAGAGAGGAAGTCCCACTATCTCTCCATCCATCACTCCATCCACCTTACTCTCTATCCAGTAGCGTATTTGTGCCCCAGTGCTGCGTGAGTTTGGTTCTGGATCCACGAGGATGTGAGGTCAGAAGGAGGGACGGCAGAATAATCTGAAGTT